GGAGCTTCGTATAATCCCCGACCTCCGGTCCTTCCGACACGCCCTAAAAAGTTGGCTTTTCCAGCAAGCCAGCCTGGCCTGAATAGAATAAAATAAATTATTAATTTTCATTGTTAATTTTAATTTAATTTCTAAACCTCATTGTAACTGTCTATTGGGTTTTTGGGATATTCTATTTAATTTTTCTTTTAACTTTTGTAATATGTGTTTTTATGTTGTACACCGCCCAGAGTCCTTTGGGAGAAGGGCGGCATATAAGTCCAATAAACCAACCATAAACCATAAACCCATTTAATTTCTTGTTAGAAACCGAAATCATTTAGTTATTCTAGGCCAGTGTTTCCAAACCTTAGCGACTTTAAGATGAGTGGACTTCAACTCCCAAAATTCCCAGCATGGCTGGCTGGGGAATTCTGGGAGTTGAAGTCCATCCATCTTAAAGTTACCTCAGAAACAGAACTCTAGGCCAGTGATGGTAAACCTTTTTGGCACCAAGTGCCCAAACCGGAACGCACGCGCCAGAGCTCCGGAAACTTGAAGACTAGCTGGCCGCTGCATATGCCCGTGCCAGCCAGCTGGACTTCATGCGCACCGCAGCTGGCGATGAGCATGTGCCCAAAAAGAGGGCTCCATATGCATATGTTCTCCATCACGGCTCTAGGCTGTTGAGGGAAATAATCTTCACCTACAGAAAGGATGTTCCATAATTCATTTTCCACATCATGGACAACAAAATCAGCACAGGTCAAAATGCTAGAGGATATAGAAAGAGAAAAGTCATGGGGGGAAAAAACTGGAAAAAAAGGGGGGTTGTTATTTATTTATTTTTACCTACTTTTCAAGGCCAGCCTTTCAGACCGTCTTCAGGTTCCTGACATGGCAATTGTCAGAAAACAATACCCACCGAGAAACAGGTGCAGAAAAATAAAGACGATGGCCAACGGAGAAACATAAATGTGCAAGAAAAGAAAAAGAAATTAATATAAACCAATCTAAGCAATGGAGAAATAAATCTAGATCTAGCATTTGAAATAAACAGAAAGCGAACTTCCCAATGAGTTTTAAAAGAAAAGAAAAAAATCACAATGCAAACGTAGCATTTTGGTGAACGTAACCAAAAAAATAAATAAATAAGCAAGATGGATAGAAATACAGGTAGTCCTTAGCTCACAACCACAATTGAGCCCAAAATTAGTTGTTAAGTGAGTTTTGCCACATTTTACGACCTGTCTTGCCACCGTTGTTAAGTGAATCACTGCAGTCGTTAAGTTAGTAACACAATAGTCAAGCAAATCTGGCTTCCCTGTGGACTTTGCTTGCCAAAAGGCCGCAAAAGGGGACCACATGACTCCAGGACACTGCAACAGTAGTAAATGAGAGTCAGTTACAAGCATCTGAATTTTAATCAAATGATCGTGGGGATGTTGCAACGGTCGTAAGTGTGAAAAATGGTCGTCAGTCACTTTTTTTTTTAGTGCTGCTGTAACTTTGAACGGACACTGAAGAAAGGGTTGTAAGCCGAGGACTACGAGTAGAGGAATCTATGGGCCCAGGTGAAATGCTTACCTGTACATCGGAACGGTGACGGTCCGTTCGTAGTAATTCCAGGTAGAGTGCAAATCGGTTCGGGTGAGGTTAGTGGCGTAAAACCTCCAGGCGGCCTGAGGGAAGATGGGAAGCAGAGGCGGATGTGATATCAAAAAAGTGAAACAAGCCAGTAATGAAGTTCATTTGGTGGTGGCACAGTGGTGAGAATGCAGTATTGCAGGTTAATTCTACCCACTGCCGATTGCCAACAGTTTGATCCTGACCAGCTCAAGGTCGACTCAGTCTTCCATCCTTCCAAGGTCAGTAAAATGAGGAACCAGATTGTTTTGCGGGGGGGGGAGGGGGCAACACTCTTTTTTTTCCCCCCTTTATTTGTATGCCGCCCTTTTCCCTGGGGGGACTCAGGGCGGCTCACAATTCAAAAAGGGGGGAGGGAGACAAACAGTA